TAAAATTTTGAATTTTGCTTATTTTGAAAAGTGATTTTAATTTAAATAGGTCCCTACGAATCAATTTTTTCATTTTTTTATTACACATTTTTCAATAAAAAGTCAAAAAGTTAACCCAAACATCCATATTTTCAACCTCAATTTTTTAGTCCAAAAAGACAAAAAGTGTACTTTTTTAGTCTTCCCAAACTTGGCCTTAATCAGGACAAAAGATTATGATGATCGAAATTCACCATTAAAATGACAATCATAGCTCTCGTCTCTGAATCATTTGTAAAACAATAATTATGCCCTTTATGTTGTACTAATTATAGCCTCTCACATCTCGTTTTAAAAGGTCAAATAAAACCAAAAATAAATGTAAAAAATTTATTGGCAAATTACATCCGTAGTCTTAATAATTAACCTCGATATTAATTTGGTCTTTATAATTTTAATTATATTAATTTTACCATTAAATTTTTCACATTGTATTAATTTAATTTAATTAATAACATTTTTATAAAAATTATACTAAAATCAAGAGATAAAATAATCTTTTCACTCACTTCAAAGTGATTGAGAGTTGATGCTAATTTGAAATAGATTATTTTCTTTTGAATGAATTATTTTGTCAATGATTTTTGTCTAATTTCTTAACAAATTTATTGATTGAATTGAATTGACACAGAGTGTAAAATTAAAAGATAAAATCGGAAAAAATTAAAATTACAAAAATTAAATTAACGTAAAATACAAATTACAAGAATCAAGAGTATAATTTATCCAAAATTTAAAGTGAAGTGCTAAATATAATTATTCTGTTATACATAATGTGGAAATGATACTCAACAAAATGATGGTAAGTTTCATTATTTTCTCAATAGTGTGAACTCTAGGCCATGCCCCTCCCAACTTAAAATAATAATGATAAATAAATAATTCATATAGTTTTAAGTATTTATACAAAAATTATCTTTTGTTTTTCAAAATTTGTTTCACTTTATTTTAGCCTTTTAAAATTTAAATAATTTCACTTTGACTGTATTTACACAATTTTTGAGACAAACGGCACACGTCAATTATTGTGGGGAATCAAATAAATCTATATAAATAAATAAATAAATAAAAATCGATAAAATGCATCTAGTTATATATATTATTTATTTATTTCTCATGAAAAGATAGCCTACCAACTCCTATGTTTGTTTGGATACATGACTCATTTATATAAATTTTGAAATTAATGGGCCATCATATAATTTGGCATTTGATTAATGAGTTTAACTGTTTTTTATCAAATTCAAAGCCTAAAGTCCTCAATTCTATCATTCTATGTCCCCACCAGAGTAAAGACTAAAGCAAGCAATTATCCGAAAAACAGATCCCTAGGTAAAATTACAAAAGTTTCATCTTTTTTGTGGGTGGGTAAAAAGTGCCATCTTTTGCTATGTGGAATTCCACTAATATTAAGAACACCAAATGAATTACCGAATGTGAAATGTGTATTGTTACAATATTTGTGAATTATTCTATAATTCGTTTTATATTCTTAATATTTGGTGGGGGGATTCAGTCCATTATAAATTAAGAAATCGGTATCAATTGTGGCATTGTTGTGTCACAAATCAAATGGATTGGATGTACATTGTAGAGTTTATTACTTTATATTAGTGTTAAGAGAGACAAGATAAAACAATAAAGATTTATTTTATTTTTTTCTTCTTTAATTATTATTGAATATTATTTTATCACCCTTAATTTTAAAACCATACATCTAGATTCATTAATTATCAAGAAAGGGGGTTTGTGCGATTTTTAAATGTTGACGAATCTAAATACTTGATTTTAAAATTAAAGAAGTAATGTGATATTATAAGGTAAAATACAATCAACCCAAATAACAATTAGTAATTAGTGTGTGACATATCTTGTGCCTCATAAGCAGTAAATAACTTTTACTACAAACCATTACAGAATTGGTGTTAATTATTTTTATTGTAATTAATTAATAAAGAACCCATGACAAAGAAATGTACCTATATTTTTAGAAAAGAGAAAAATAAAATAAAGAACATCACATTTCACTTAACATAAATTGTTATTCTTAGCCTTCGTTTGGGAAGAAAAAGCTCACAAAAAATAAAATAGACTTTTTAGTCTAATAAGACAAAATATCACATTCAACTCATAATCATTACATTTTTTCTCTCACAAAAATAAAAAAAAGTCAAAAAATTCATCTTAAACGAGACTTTTTAACCCCAAATCAAAACAAATCAAAAAATCAAAAAGTTAATCCACTTTCCAAACAAATCCTAATCCATCTGGAAGACGATACTTTATGCATTGTTGAAATGTGATAGGAGTATTATTAGTGATACATTTTTATATGTATGTGCAGTTATGGATGCAAATTATTAGAGATGGGGAGATTTTTATTATCATAATGTTGACAAGAATTGTAGCTGGTGGCCTATAAAAATTTTGTGTTTGAATAATCCCAACTACCAATAAGATCGCACCTTTATAGCTTTACATATATCTGGACTTTTTATATGCAAGTGCCATTGTGCCAAAAGTAAAGTCATAGAAGTACCTATCAAATATAAATAAATAATTATACACACCATGAGTGCATGCAGGCCCACCTATCAGTAAAGTTAGGTTCACTCAACACATGACCACCACACCATTGAGCCAAAGATAGTGGGGATTCCATCAATGTTCTTAAGAAAGAATATTTTTTTTTTTTGAAGTAGACAGAATTTAATTAAAAATTATATTTAATTTTATAATTAAATTATGTGTATATAGAAGAAGTGTTTTAAAAAATACCCTGAAACCAAATTGGTATAGCAAAGTGTTAATTGGATAAGTTTATTAAAATCCATGTCAAAGTTAATATCAACCTCAGAAGTCAGTGAAATAAAAAATTTAATGATATATGTAAGTGAGAATTTTATCATATTTTGTTATGCAAGTTTAATATTGACTTGATTGGATGTGTTGGTGACATTGATATGTAGTTTGAGAATTCACTTTAAGTTCAGAAGAGATTTATTTATATGACAAAATGAAAATTTTCATCATGTGAAATTTATTAAGAACTTTGATAACGATGATGCTATTGGTATTCTATATGATAATATTTAAGATGAATTTAAAAAACGACACAAAACATGTCTAAGCATCTTTTGAGTTGTAGTCTAAAAAGATAAATTTGTAAAGTAAGTTGTTTAGTTGAATCATAACAGACAATAGTTAAAGTATCGAGGATTGGATTGCGCGACTACCAAATATGTAATAGAAGAAAAAATTATGTGAAAAATGAAAGTTAGGATGCTTTTCATGAGTAAAATCATTTTGTATAATCAGTATAAGACCTCGTTGGGATAAGGTCCATCTCTTAGGATCATATGGAAAAAAAAATTGTCTTCAAAATCTTTATTTTATTTTTGGAAAAATTGCTACAGAGGACCTTGTGGACTAGGGGTGGACAACGGTTTATCCGAACCGCTCAAACCGCCCAATCCGCCCAACCCGCATTTAAATGGGCGGTTTCGCAAACATAATGCGGGCGGATGCGGTTTGAAATATGACAAATTTGCTGGTTGCGGACGGGTCGCGGTTTAAACCCGCAACCCGCAAAAACCGCCCGCACTTTAATTATTATTATTTTTATTTTTTTTATATACCAACTTTGTAACTTTTACAGGAGTACCATTATATTCTCCATGACACTAGGATCCTTATTTTTAAGTATTTCTACCGATCCGCAAACACCCCTATTGTGGACTATTGATGGTCAATAATGTGTAAAGCTGAGGATATAAATAAATAATAAAAAAAAAGAAATGTTCAAAAAATAATGTGTAAAGCTGGGTGAAACACGTGTTGTTGCTACAATGCTAGCAGTCTTAGCAAGTGTGTAGCAAACGTAGTTGAATGGTAGGGCTTGAACTGAGCTTTCATGTGTCTCCCTTTTCAATTATTTGTTGGAGCTTTTTTATTTATTTATTGGATAAATTACGAATGTATTTTTTTGAGATTTATTTTAAATATAGATTATTTTATGTAATTTAAAAAATTATAAATATCATTTTCAATTTTTATTTGTAAACTCATCAAAAAATTGTTATCACAAATATATAAAATGAATCTGATGTCTAAATTCGCTGGGAAAAAAAAACTCGAAAATTAATTTTTTTAAAAAAAAGTGTAAACCGCAAACCGCCCGCACATTTGCAAACCCTATCCGCACAAATCGCGAACCGCACTGCGGGCGGTTGCGGGTTGACTTTTTTCCAAACCGCATAGATGCGGGGGGTCAAAATCGAACCGCAAACCGCACAAAACCGATCCGCAAACACCCCTATTGTGGACTATTGATGGTCAATAATGTGTAAAGCTGAGGATATAAATAAATAATAAAAAAAAAGAAATGTTCAAAAAATAATGTGTAAAGCTGGGTGAAACACGTGTTGTTGCTACAATGCTAGCAGTCTTAGAAAGTGTGTAGCAAACGTAGTTGAATGGTAGGGCTTGAACTGAGCTTTCATGTGTCTCCCTTTTCAATTATTTGTTGGAGCTTTTTTATTTATTTATTGGATAAATTACGAATATATTTTTTGAGATTTATTTTAAATATAAATTATTTTATGTAATTTAAAAAATTATAAATATCATTTTGTTCAGTCATTGGTGAAATATAATTTTTAGAATTACAAGAGTAATTCGTATTTTAATCAAATCTCATGAAATATATTTATAATTTACCCTTTTTTATTTATATTTAGTTTTGTCTGAATTTTAATTTGAAAACCATTTTTCAAGGAAAAATAAATAAATAAATAAATAAATCAAGATGATTTGCAACATAAATAACTTATTATTATTGAGCAGTGCCAAAATTGACATATATTACACAAACTTAAAAATAAAAACTCAGAAACTGCATCAAACATTTCGAACAGATTCTCCCTCCCACCTCCCAAAAAAAAAAAAATTATATATATATATATAAGCAGTTCAAATAAATTATACAAAACACTTCCTTAATTATTTTCTCAATTCATGAGATAATAACATTATTATAAACCAAAACCCATAAAAAAAAAAACTCACTCTAATAACATTCGTACAATTTCAAATCCATCACAACTCGAAAATAGTCAGCACCTTCAACCTCATCGGTAATAAACGTGGCGATCCCTCTAGCCATGAAGAAATCACCTGTACCTCCGACCACCGAAAGATCCCTAGTAGGCTCATCCATCATATCAGCACCCATGATATTCAAAGTACCTTTGTACTGAGTAGAATTGAAAACCAAAGAATAAGCAAACCATGCATTGAAAGTGGTCTTCATGTCATAAAAATAGAGGCCCTGAGCTCTAGCAACCGGAGGAGAACGTAAAGACTTGTCGGTGGTCATGGGATCATCGAACACCACCGTCTTGCCAAACTTGAAGGGACCGAGCCCGGTCCCATTAGGGTTGGCAATGATGGAGGCGGTGGCGTTGGCGGTGTTGTCGCCTTTGAACATGGTGTCGTGGTAGTAGAGGACTATGCGTTTGCATGGCTTTTTTGTGGAGGTGGGTCTTGAGTGAACTAGGAGAGATGAGGAGATGAGGAGAAGGAAGAAGAGAGTGAGAGATTTTTGTGAAACCATTTTGTTTGGTGGTTTTTTTGTGTTTTTTGGGTTATGGGTTGTGGTGGAATTGAGCTGATTTCTCCTCATATTTATAGAGCAATTTTTACAGTGTTTGGAAGGTGATTTTGGATAGTGAGAATGATGTGTTATTGTTGTTTTTTCAAGAGGAGAATGATTTGTCTACATAAATTAATGGCATTTTTTAAAGCAAGATAACAATGATGATTATTTATTTATTATTATTATTATTATTATTTTTAATCTCAAGAATTTGCTTAGTGGTCAAGGCTTAGTGTTTGGAGGTGTGCTCTTTCTAAACTTCTTAAATTCAAAACTATAGTCTCTTAGGTGTAAATAATTTTTTGAGGTCAATTTATACAGAATTTTACCTTTGGTTTTAATTGGGATTTTCCTGAGTGGGAGACGAGATTGGTCTCCATTAGTCAGTCCAATGGGCCACGAGTTGAGTTCTAAAAAAAAAATTGATGATTTTTTTTTTTTTAATAAACAATAGAAAGTTATTGTGAATATTATTAAAAAAAAAAATTTAATCATTGTGAGTGTAATCCATATCTTGCCAACTTTACATTTACATCACACACTTAATTTTTAGAGTAAATTTTCATGGTTGATAAAAAAAAATTATTTTTTACTAGAAATGAAGGATCCAGCAAAAGTCCTATCATTTTGTACAAAAATTTTGTTTAAAAATAATTTACAAACATAATTTTTATTAGAAAAAAACTTAATGAGAATGATCTACGAATAACATTCTTAAAATTATAAGATACAATGGTGACATTTTATTTTACAAACATAATTTTTATGATCACTGTTACAATTTTATTTTCTCTCGCTTTCTCTCTCTCTAAAAACCTCCTCCTCAAGCCTCTTCTTGGGTCGGCTAGCCTAGCTCTTTCCGGCGTCCGTTTGTTAGTTTTTCCCTCCAATAAACTTGATTCCCCCATTGCTCCCACCTAGGTGTGTTTTGTGTTGCTGCGGTTGGTTTGTTTTGGTGACTCGAGGCCGCTATAGCTGATTCATCAGGGGACGTCTAGGATCTTCATTCGTGCGCTCTTTTGCGAGTAGGAGCTTGAGGGGTGAACTCTGGTTCAGGTTGGTGGAGAAGTTTCGATGCTTTGTTTGGGCGGAAACATGGGTGTCGAAGTTGATCCGATCTGTCTGGTTTTCATTCGAGCGCTCCTCTTCGGGTGAGAGTTTGAGGGGTGAACTTCTTCCAAATGTATGGAGGTGCCCCAGTGGTTGGTCGGTGTTTGGTCAGTGTGTGGTTATGCAGTGGGTGTGAGTTAGCGGTGTTGGCTATGGAGTTGCAGCGGAAGAGATATTTTTTTTTTTTTTTAATAAACAATAGAAAGTTATTGTGAATATTATTAAAAAAAAAAATTTAATCATTGTGAGAGTAATCCATATCTGGCCAACTTTACATTTACATCACACACTTAATTTTTAGAGTAAATTTTCATGGTTGATAAAAAAAAATTATTTTTTACTAGAAATGAAGGATCCAGCAAAAGTCCTATCATTTTGTACAAAAATTTTGTTTAAAAATAATTTACAAACATAATTTTTATTAGAAAAAAACTTAATGAGAATGATCTGCCAACATTCTTAAAATTATAAGATACAATGGTGACATTTTATTTTACAAACATAATTTTTATGATCACTATTACAATTTTATTTTCTCTCTCTCTCTCTTTCTCTCTCTCTAAAAACCTCCTCTCCAGGCCTTTTCTTAGGTCGGCTGGCCTAGCTCTTTCCAGCGTTCGTTTGTTAGTGTTTCCCTCCAATAAACTTGATTCTCCCATTTCTCCCACCTAGGTGTGTTTTGTGTTGCTACGGTTGGTTTGTTTTGGTGACTCGGGGCCGCTATAGCTGATTCATCAGGGGACGTCTAGGATCTTCATTCGTGTGCTCTTTTGCGAGTAGGAGCTTGAGGGGTGAACTCTGGTTCAGGTTGGTGGAGAAGTTTCGATGCTTTGTTTGGACGGAAACATGGGTGTCGAAGTCAATCCGATCTGTCTAGTTTTCATTCGAGCGCTCCTCTTCGGGTGAGAGTTTGAGGGGTGAACTTCTTCTTAATGTATGGAGGTGTCCCAGCGGTTGGTCGGTGTTTTGGTCAGTGTGTGGAGCTGCGGTGGGTGTGAGTTAGCGGTGTTGGCTATGGAGTTGCAGCGGAAGAGATAGTGGTGGCAGTGGGTGATGATCTGTCTTCGGCAGCAAGTGTTGGAGCTCCAATGTCAAGTTTAGCAGGGGTGTTGCAGCAGCATAGGCGTTGGAGTTTTCCGATGTTGGCTATGGAGTTTTCTCGGTCGGTTTAGTAGCATAGGTGTGTTCAGGTCGGTGGTTGGTTGATGGTTGATTCCGGTGTTGGCCCATGGAGCTGGTGGCTATGGTGTTTTCGGTGGTGTGGCCTCGGGAGTGCAGCAGCATAGGCGTTGTGTAACCTTGGGAGTGTAGCAGCTTAGGTGTGGGTCTTGGCGTGGTGAATACGTTGTGTTCAAGCGGGAGGTTGGCCTTGGAAGTGCAGCATCCTAGGCGTGGGTATGTACAGCAGAATAGGCGTGGGTGGCATGGGTCTGGGGTAGTGTGGGCTCTGGGTGTGTAGTAGGTGTATAAAATAATTGGGTTACAAGCTTGGGTGTTAGGAGTGTTAATTTTAGCAATTTGATTGTTTTGGTGGGTTAATTTTCTGGGGAATCATGTATTTTATTTTCTGTTAAGTCCTTCTTAACTTTTTTTGTTTTTTTAAAAAAAAAAAAATTTGTGAGGCCGAGAGGTTAGTTGTATGGTTGTGAGTAGCAGTAGTAGGGGTATTTTGTACTTTCCGAATCTCTCTCAGTGCATTTCATCTTCCTGTACCTTTAATTTCATGTTAATTAATGAAATTTTTCCTTACTGATCAAAAAAAAAATGGTGACATTTTACTTCGAGATGAAATTACTATGCTTGTAACATTGTATGTAAAAATTACGTTTATATATCATTATTTTAAACTATTTTATTTATAAATTTTGAGTAGTGTTATATAAATATACAGAAAAAAAATCAACAAAATCTAACGTAAAGTTTTTATTTTATTTATTTATTTTATCACTTTAAAACAAAAAGGCCCATCAATATAGTTTATATTTTTTAAAATATCATTTCAACATCATTTTGATCAAAATTATGTATAAAAATTCCATCTTCCAATAAATTTTTAGTGTTTTTGATAACCCATCAACATAGTTTATATTTCTAAAAATATCATTGCTCATCGTTTTGATTAAAATTATGTATAAAAATTCCATCTTCCAATAAATTTTTAGTATTTTTGATAAAGAATATATGCTCACCAACCCATTATCAAAAAAACAGAGAGGTATGGCCACCAACTACGATGACTAGATGTCGGTTTGCAAGTAGGATTTAGAAGGTGTCACTGGTGGACAAGAAAATGACATTTTTGTCGGTTTATTTAATTTATTAATTAATATGATAAATATATTAATTTGTGTAGTCCAAATGCATATTTATAGTCTCAGCAAATAAATGGCTGCTCGTTACAGGAGGTGATTATATTTTATTTGAATTTGAAAGTTTGTGTTAAATTGCTTGATGTAACTTTTGTTTATAATTTATTAAGTAGAAATTATTTAAATAAATTAAAACAAATTGATTATTTAAAAACTACAGAATAGATACTTTAACTTTTATTTATTAATTATCAATATTTAATTTTAAAAAACTCTACCAAATAAAGCCAAAGACGTGGGCAGTCAACAATTGGTAAGTGTGAGAACCCTCTGCTCTGATATTTATAATTATTTAATTATTAGATTATATTTGTTATTAAAAAAAAATAAGTAGTCTATTTAAAATTTATATATATATATATATATATATTAGTCTATTTAAAATATATATATATATATATATATATATATATATATTTCTACTAACCCCAAAGGGAGAAATCAAAAAAAAAATAATTGCCCAAAATTTACAATCATAACCCGAGATTTATTGATGGTGCAGCTCCACAATAATAAATTTTAAAAATCTATAAATTTGAAATTCTTAATTATTATTTGATTTGTTTTTTGGGTATCTAGACTTTTTATTTTTTAAATAATAGTTTGTAGGACAACGAAAATGTAACAATTTGCAGACTTTATCGAAAGAGTATAAATCGAAAATATCTTGCATCAATATAGGTAGCTTTCGGCCTTGAACCTTCCCTAGTGATAACCTATCGGACTTACTGGCTAACCAATAGACGCGATGCCTTGAATTGTTCAGCCGTTTGTGTAAGCCAAGACAATAGATTTCACACAAAATATCTTCTAACACATCGTGGTTCTCACTGTTGTGTTCATTTTGGCCTTGAACGCGCCTGGTTTTCATAAGTGTTTCTAGAGAATTTAGCCTTTTCATTCTCATAGAACCGGCCCCAGTTCAACACTCATATAGGTGATTCTTATTGTGAGTATCTCTTTATACTCGTCTTGATTTTATGCCTTAATCAAGATATAAGTAATCATTAAAAGCAAAGCTTATCCTTATACCCCTGCAGACAACATATGTTGCAGATATCACTCTCACCATAGGAATGGGCAGGAATTTTAATCCCTTGGTGATTTCTGGAGAGCCATACATAACTTAGTTGTCCCTTTGAACATAGTTCTTGGGATCGCTAGTCATATAAGTAGGGTTACCATTATGACAACTCTTATGTAATAAGCTTTAATCCCATCCCCTTCGATGAACTATACACTAGCTCTATTGTCAAACCTTTTGTTAACGGATCCGTAATATTCTCTTTAGATTTTATATAATCTATTGAGATTATTCCGTTTGACAACAATTGCCTTACAGTATTATGTCGACGACGAATATGTCGTGACTTACTGTTATACATACGATTTTGTGCCCTATCTATTGCAGATTGACTATCACAATGAATGCAAATAACTGGCACAGGTTTTGGCTACATTGGAATGTCTTCTAAGAAGTGACGGAGCCATTCTGCTTCTTCTCCTGCTTTGTCTAAAGCAATAAACTCGGATTCCATTG